AATAATTATGATGCTGATTCTGTGTACCTTTGGTGGTCTTGGATTTTTGTGATTAAGTGAAGTTTACGAATGCAGACGATTATGAATGTCTACACAAATTATTGTTTCCGGCACAAAGTACATGGTTGTTTTTGCTCATAATCAACAGATACTGTACATATTTACCAGTATTGTACCGTACTGTAATGTATCTGGAAAGAATAACGAGCTTTAGTTTAGAAACTGGAGGTTTATTGTTTTCCTGCACGGTTCTGTTTACAGGAGTGTTGTAACGGAATCACTGTAATTTTTGAAGTCTTATGTGCATAATATAATTATGTTGTGAATAATAAGGCAAGAATGTCGAAAAGTGTCAAAACCTATAAACCCTTGGCATCAAAAAGTACTGCGTCATAAATACAGATACGCACAAGAGCTACTAAGTATACAGATATATGCATACTTGATAATATTATTATTATAAGATGCCTCAGAAATAGTCTAGAATTTTCTCAGACAAGAAATTTCAAAGAAAGCGGACAGCTCTACTATACCGACTATGTATCATCCAAAATATGTATCCTCAACATATAAGTTTCTATACTTGACTTACCCAGAGCAGTGCTGGCAAGATGCCACAAGCTTTTTAATTTAATTCCAGATATGACATCACAACTTAGCTACTGCGGATAAAATTTAATATTTCGCTACCTATTACGTTTTCCCCATCAAAACACAAGATCTCCAAAAAACGTGTTCGGTGCCGACGGTACATCATGATTCGAAAAAAAAACATGTGCGTGATAACTTCGGAGACAAACAACATGCAGAGTACGTGAGATAAACCTACAGAATTCAGCACATACAAACTGTGTAATCGTAAAGCAGGCATCGCCCCCTTCTCAAGATTAGCGGATTGTGTGCACCCTTGGCGAAGATATCAAAAGCACCGAGATTTTTATGGTACATTGCAGCTCGGTTTATTCCCCAGCCCACTCGTAGATTCTAATATTTTAACGTCTAACAATACAATAACTAACAATAATAAAAATGCTAGGAAAGCCTAACCATCACTCGAAAAATAAGTTTGAAGTTCTTCTGTGCCGTAAAGTACGAAAGGTCAACTTTTGTATTTTAAATACGAAAGGTCAACTCAACCAACCAAGCTACTATCTGTCATTTGGTCGTTGCAGCGCTTCCTCTTGTATGACAAAGAAACATCATGAGAAATTAATAAATCTACTATTTATACCAGAGTTTTACTTGAATTTTGGTGCTAATTCTCCAGAAATGGAATTTATCACAGTCTTATTATCTACCTATTGTCATCAAAACGTTAGCGAAAACATATTTGTTTTGGAATTCTCAACTTTCCAAACATACTTCAAATTAATTTGAATTTCTTTACATCTTCCTGTGTCAGTTTTGTTTTACGTTAGAAATTCGAAATTGCCGAGGAAAAACTCAGCGGAAATCGAGCTACCGCAGGTCCGCAACCATGTACATGCTGCAGCGAGCAGCATTTATACGCCCCCTACCTACCGCAAGAGCCGATAAGAAAATCGGTTCTGCCGCCGCCTGCACTACCTCTAACTTACAAATTTTCACGATGCCGTTTGCTTATGTTAACGAGACGCGCGCCAAGGCACACTGAGAGGTTTTTATAAATTCGTGTTAAAAGTTTCAAACGGATAAGGAAAATCCTTATACTTTGTACTACGTAAATCCGGTGCGTTAATCGTGTCGCTAGCAGTTATTTCCATGAAGGCCGTTTTTGGTGTCAAGGAGCTTCGTCGGAAAACTAGGACGCAATTATACAGATTAGCGGAAGCGCGACCTTGTCGAGCTGCTAAACGGAAAATTGCTTTTCTCCGGATGTCATGAAGGAGGCCACAGTCAATAGGTTTATCGCTCGATTGCCTTTGAAATATCTCACAGCAGGGTTGGCCGTATACGGAACGTTTATATAACAGCACGCGCTGTTACCAACGGGATAGTGACGATGCAAACAAGACCAAGGTTTCTTTAATTTATGGCTCTGCAGGTTTCTATCCCGCTGTTTGGTTAGGAGCGTGTATGAACGTGCGACCGGATCCCGAACAATCTTGATAACTTATTTACAATTGTTTGTCATATGTTTAACGACCGTACGCGGTTTCTGCGCGCAACTGCTAGAAAGACGGCCACAGTTAGCGGGATACACAGGATTATAAGCGCGCGATATTCACCGGATGCAAGCATGCAAGTGCTGGATCTCGCCTGAATGCCAGTGTAAAAGTGTGCCGGATGCCTGAGCAAAAACAAAGCGTGAGCGACACTTGATTCGTAGAAGAATACACATCCGATTCTGGCCTCGGTTCTTGCCACACGTGCATGTTACGGCAATTTGAGAAGGATGACAGTGATCCAGTCTGGACCGTTTAAACTAGATCTTCCGATTACTCTTTATACTGAGCCTGCTTTAAATATTTTACACTCCAGTAATCGGAGGTTCGCGTCAACCTTGATCGGAGGATAGCGTGGCCTGAAAGCCGGTTACGCTGTACCTAGTTTTGTTCGACAAATAAATAACACCCGCTGTTAAACAGCCCAAACCGGCGCTTCCTGTCGCTTGAGTGGAAAATCGACGAACTGATCCTATCGTCGTATTGACCTGCAATTCTTGCCCGCGTAATTTATGAAATGAACACTTCAACAGCCTCCGCAATTAACCAGACGCTGCTCATTAAAAACTCCACCGTCATCCTCAACATCGCCCATTTTGTGACGTACATGACGGTGTCTAGTCTGGCTTGCTTGTTCACCGTGGTCATCTACCTCCTTCTGATAATCCTAACTTTTCGCCGGCGTTTTTCTCTCGCCGGATCTCGATTTTTGTTGGTCCATCAGTTTTTAGCGGAACTGCTGATGGTCGGGGTGCACTGGCCGATCATGCTTCTGCAGATGCTGCTAGCGCGCCACCGTATATTCACTAGCAATACCTTCTGCCGGCACTATATGTTCTTCTACCTCGTCAACATAACGGCCGCCCTGTGGGGTCTGTGCGCGCTGTCGTTTAACCGCTTCATCGCCATAATCTATCCGCATCTCTATGCTCGCTTCACACGGAAACGCTTCCTCATCTCGCAAGTGTTATCCTTCTGGATCCTGGGAATTATTATCCACATACCGTTCTACGTCGACACCGGTTACAACGGCCTGGTCGCGGAGCCCCCATGGTCGTTGTGCAATTTCGCCCATCAAGGCGGTCAGGTGTTCGTGATCGGGGCGGCTCTGCGCATCCATCTCCCGTTGGCGGTATCCGGTGTCACGCATGTTATCGTCCTTTGCCAGGTGGTCGCCTCCCGTCTGCATGCTGGCCGCATTGCCACGGAAGGTGCCGCCCCCGCGGCTGTCAGCGGAGCGTATCGGAAACGGGTGTTGCTGGCCAAAATGCTGTTTGTTAACTGGGTTGTGCACTGTCTATGTTTTGCCACGTTGCCGATATTTCAATCGCTGCTGCCGGTGTGGATGTTCAAGGAGATGCTGACGTTACCGTGGCTGCGCGATATATTCTATGGTGGATATCTTTCTACTCCGGTAAATATATTTGGGTGTATTTATTATCAGTAAACCAAGTTCGTCAGAAAGGCATAAGAAAATATCAATAATTTTGGTTAAATGCGATATAGGTGCTGTTTTACGCGATGAACCAGGAATGCCGCGACGCCGTGAACAGCGCTTTACTGTGTTTGCCATCGCCAGGTGTAAAAGTCGATCCGTCTAGCAATGTACAGAGCCGTAAAGATCAGCCGGAAACAGCGTTATCAAAAGCAGCTTCTTGAGAGAGCGACCAAAAGTGTTTCGGAGGCTCAAAGATGGCTTAATGTCCACTAATAACAAGTGTCTAGTAGAGATCATGTTTGTGGCGTCAGAGTGCTCATTTAACGGATTCCGGCATTGATTATATATAGAGATGAGTGACTGAGAGTACTACAATATTTGCATTCACATAATAATATAAATTTACGTGATCTGCCCAGACGGGAAAAGTGGATTCACCTACATCTATACATGCATGATGTATGCAGTATGATTGGCTGATAACAATAATTCAAACCAAAAAAACATCACGTGACCTTCGTTTGTTTTAAATTTATCAGTTTTTCCAAAATAGTTAATTCATCCCTCAGCTCCTTTGCATTTTTTTCACCAGTTTTCCACCAGTTGTAGTGCTGTACATTCTAATCCCAAGTAATAGAAATGCTTTTTTTAAGAAACGAATGAAAAGCTGATTTTCAGAAAAATATGATCGCAGGCTTCGTAATTCAATGACATAGACGGCATCCGTCTGGAAACCGGCAAGAGTATGCAACACAGGAAAAATTGAATTTCATAATAAATCAGTCGTTTAAACTTCCATGTCGTTTTTTGTTTGAAATTTTGAACGAATTCTCATCAGAATTAGTCTCACATCGGTCGCGAAAAAATAAACACCTTAGTTTTTTTTCCAAATGTTCACTACCACACATCTTGTGACCAGTCAGCGCGAAAAAACTTCTAACAGTTGAAAATGTGGTCAATTTGACACGTGATGAATAAGTTCCATAATAACAGAGACAGATTATGGCGGATTGTTCACTTGTTACGACAAGATTCTGAGTGCTTCCGGAAGAAAATGCATAAAGAGCAGCTAGCTGTGCCACGATACTTCATAGCGCCGTGAGCGGACACTAATTGTCGACCGGAATAACCTCGAACTTACGTATACATAAACAACAGCACCTGAACGGTTCACGCTTAACCAGAACAATTTCTAGAAATTCATTTTGAAGGGTTAACGGCTAAATAACGGACGCGGAGTACTTCACCTTACACAACCCAAATAAGGTTGATAAATTTTCACATTTAATTCAGAATCGTATAAAGTGTTGTTTGACAGCTAAAGAATGGTCTCCTAAAAGGCAAAAGTTTATGCAGGTGTTTGCTTTTTCGAAAGAAGCAATGTATAACATTATAAGAACGAGCAGTCATATAAACACAGCGCTTCCGAGATGCTGCATACTCCGCTACAGTAATCTAATTTCTTGCAACTGCGTGAGTGATGGAGCTGTTTAAATTATTCCGCGACTGGTACGCAATAATGTGTCCGCCCATCTTCATAGGTTGCCGACTTTTGAATGAACATCCCGTGCAGCGCAGAAACACGTGCTTCGCCAATAGAAGACGATGAACCTGAACAGTCAAATGTGACAAGAACTGATCCTCATCGTCCGACGACACACGGCAAATACGGCATTGATATTTCGCCGAGACGATCTCGGTTTCAGAGTCTGGCGATAGCGGTGATTGTGGAGCAGCGTTTCTTGCGGATATGTTCAGGACGGTGGCAGCCGTATTTGCAGACTCCTCTCGTTCGGTGCCTGGGCTAGGGGAAATGTTTTCCGGTGGATCCGGTTCCACGTGATCTTCATCAAGCGCAACGTTTTGTTGGTAGTGCCGCATGCCAAAATAATCATCGAAGGAGCACCAACGATTCTCAGCAAACCCAGAAGCAGTAATTTCTATAAAAAAGTCGCTTTCCTAAATAATACTCAACCAATATACCTTCGGCCAAGCAAAGATTTTGATTTACTGTAAGTTAATTTTAATCTTTATATAATAATCGCGTAAGCCTTAATCTTTGTTGAGTTCGCCAGCTCGATACGCTGAACCAAACTGTCATGACTATGGATCATTTGATAGCCCATAACGTGTAGATTAGCCATCACAAATTAGTTTTTGAAGAAAATGATACGTTTGAAAGAAAACGTTCAAAAACTTTAACATATAAAGTCTATGGGAAAAGCTGAGAACCCACCACTGCTAAACCGACCACCCCACCACTGTCTCAACAGCTTAAACACGCTTTTTTGACAATTCCTCTGCAGTTGATTAGAACTTGGAACTTTGCGTTCCATAACAGATTATCCCCCGCCGTACTTGCTGTTTGTACATTAAACATTTCTCATCCAAGTTAAACACTTGAAAAAAAAACTGTACAAACATGGCCGAGAAGATTCTGGGACTGCTGGACGGCTCGCAAGTCTGTTTTCAAGTACTACCGGACCTCCGTGGTGGTTTTCGCGTAGTTAAACTGTAAAGTGCCTTCAGGGGCGGGCGCGGTTGGCTTTCTTGCTGAACTGCCGGTGATTATTTGTAAAAGCCGATTTTTCGAAATTTGCTGCTTTATGATGTAGTTTTTACTAGAAAAAGCTGTTCAAAAAAGGCAAGTGGGCAACTTGGCATTTATAGGGTTTAGCATTGAAGAACAGCAAGCTCTTTGCACCGCTTGGTATGTGGTGTTCGAGACCGTGTGATACATGAAATATTAATGCAAATCCACCACAGTGGAGCTTCGAGCTAACAATAAGGTGAAATGCTTCATTATTAAGTAACAAAAGGACTTCTGGAAAACTGAAAATGATTTTTTAAAAAATTTGTTATACAGATAGCGCTTTAGAAGGCGGAGCCTTCTGCGACGCCGAGCTGTGGCGCAAGCGAAGCTCGAATAGCAGCAAGCAAGCACGAAAATTCCCGGTTTTGAAAAAGCGGAGAAAGAAACACAACGAAATGCTTATGTCTTCATATAATAAAAGTGGTTTGACTGTGCTCTGTGGTCAAAGCAACAGCAAAAGAGGTTACTATCACTCTTTCAGTTCACTGATTGTTAAATTGGGATATAAAGGCCGGCAGTGGTGCTGGTGGTCAAACTGGGGGATAGTTAGTAAAGTCGGGTAAAAAAAAGTAGTAAAGTCGGGTCGGCTATTAAGTCGGGTAAAAAATAGATTCAAAAATTGCAGAATGACACAAACAGGAAGAGACAACAGGTTCTAAAAATAACTTATGTAGTCTCTAAGCACCAGTTGCACGAATTTTAACTGATTGGTGACTGATCTGGAAATAAAGAATTAGATCGGAAGCTGTTGACAAAAATTGTCTGCTTTTGGGGAAGAATTTTACATTTCAAGTCTGATGTCATCTCTGCAGTCAAAGGGAAATGCAAATTTTCCCGGAAATTGTATCGTCAACTGTGGACTTAGGTATATAAGAGAATTCTAAGCTTCGTTCATTAAACCTACCCGTAGCCGTAGGTCCTGTAATTGCGTGCAGTTATGAGTTTTAATTTTTGCACTGGATTATGATTTGTCCATCGTATTATTTATTCCGCGCAATTTGCGCGGGGTCTGCTAGTGGTCACATAAAGGCTCATTTTAATCACTCGCTAGAAGTACGTATTTTGCAGTTTGCCTAATTATCCTAATTATAATCGGAAGAACCGATTGACCTTTAATTCAAAAAGATACGCACCTGTTTGACTCTCGCTGGTGCGGCAGTTGTCGATGTTCGTTACTTCCCCAGGTTCTGTTGATCCATTTACAGAGTGTAGAGAAGGAACCTTCGCAGTGCAACTGCCATTGGGCGATGGACCTGTGTCGCTTTGTTTACCTTCACCGCTGAGTGAAACCTCGTTTTCTAAAGTTAAAATCGGTTGCTGTTGTTGGTCCTCAGATGGGATCCGCTTTAGTCGGGGAGATGTTGGGACCGGTGTCGCAGTGATGGGATCTACGGCTGCTTCCGCTCTTCTCAGCTCGATATCATCGGCGCCTACAGCTTCCAAAAGGGGTAATGCAACTAGAGTTGCGCAAATTCCTGATTTATCTATCGCAGTCAATGGTTGTGCCTAAAGACAAGAATTTCGGAATCAGGGCAAACGGCCACAAGATTTGTTGTTTATTTCGCGTTAGATCTAGTAGTACTGCAGCTCTGCGGCACCCAACAAATCAATAAATAGCCGTCACACTGGACTGTCTTACATCAACCTGTTGAACAACCACCGGTGATTTGTGTGATTCTTGGCTTCTGATGCCTCGATCCACGGAGTCCCTGTTCGCATCGCGCAATGGGGTGTCTTTGAACATGAAGCAGGCATCGATGTGCTGCTTTACTGATGCACAGGAATATCCCTGTTTGCGCAGTCCCAAAATAATGTACTGCAGCTTGTGGTACCGGCTGTGGTCGATGTTCGTAACGAGTGGAAGCGCTTGCATGATCGGGTTTACCAAATGTTGAGACGTATTAGCGGTCCGTTCAATGGACGTTCCACTGTCCGCTGTGTTATGTTGATCCTGTGGAGCGATCCTGCTATCGTACGATAGCAGCCGCTGTGTATCCTCTGTGCGTTCGCTCAGAGCCTGTTGGCTGTGCGCAGACGCGACTGAAATAGCGGGACAAAATTTAGGCGAAACTCGGGTAGCCTTTTTACATGAACTATATATTTGCTCATTGTTCAATATACATAATAACGCGTTATTGTTCAATAACGCGAAAACATTTCTACCGAGTGCCTACAGCAAAACTAATGTTTGTTCTCTGTTATAATAATAAGTAAATTTTAAAGAATCTAGCTGAAGCTTTTCGATATCTCTGCATACCGGTAAATACCATGCAGATAAAAAAGGAATGGTGTTCCTTATCCCACCAAAAAAAATAAGTACGAAGTATAACTACGTAAAGCTGATTGTTCTCTGCAGAACGATATCCTTCTGTTGTTCATAATGATATGATCTCATAAAATCTTGGTTTGGAAACATTATGTATGATGTAGTAATCTAATCGATATACCCGTGAATGTTTATTCGTATACGTACTATGCAGGCACAAACAAAATATGTATTTTGCGTGATTTTCAATCAATTTCTTGTTTATCTAACGGCTGCAAAGATGGGAAAAACTATAGTTACCCGTGTTGTGCAACGCACTGGGTTCCGGCGCCTGTGCTGTTTCACTGCGACACACCGGCGGACTTGAAGTCGGTGAAGCATGTGGAGTATTTCCAGATATATAATCTCCGTGGTGTTCAATCGTGGGTGCGCGTCTGCGTTTAGTTGCTGGACCGCTCGGTGATTTGACAGTGTTGGCTGGCTGGGACACCGAAGTGCCGGATGTGGTTGGAGATCTTGGGCCGGACTTGAGGATAGTGCGGGCACGTTCCGTCGTTAAAGCCGCTATCTTGGCTGAATTGGCTAGCTTATACTTTTCACCATAATCATCGTCACAGGAACTGCGTAGTAGCTCTCCACGACCGCTGCCTTCGGAAAAATTGTGGTCGTCTGTTTCTGAAATTTGCTAACAAGCATTTGAGATGTGTTGTATTTAGTAATTGCCTAATAAATCACAACTTATAAGTTAAGCTCTCATCACTTAACTCTCCTGACAACTGCACATGGTAGCGTAACTTGTGGTAGAACCCAGAACTCTGTTTACTAGGTAACTAAGATAAATCGCACAACTAATATAGCGTAACTCCCAGCTCCGTATATGCGGTGGAATTCATAAATATGTCACACTCACATCCGGTGACGCTATGCTTATTGCTTACGAGGGTATATGCTGTAACGCCGTTTTGAAGTCCATTGTATCTTAACGCTGACGGCGGTTGAGTTTTTCATATCTGCCGAGGTCTGGTTAGTATCCCAGCTATTGCGAATCACCACCGAGCAGTTTACTTCCACTCAATGAATTCGCGCAACGTACATTATATTGCAGTATGTTTTACCAACATAAAAAGATTTCGTTTTCCCACTTACTTTTGGCGGAATCCCGATTCGCGACACCTTCTTTGACGTCATGTGCAACCAGTTGCATACCAGATGTACCTTCTCCGTGGTGGAAATCCGTTGGAGTGTGTCCGCAGCTAGAACAGTTGCAGTGTCTCCGTTTGCAGTCAGAATTTCGGGGCCTCCTCGCCATTAACCGAGCTGACTTTCGGCGCTCAGCGACAACTCCGCGCCCACAGGTATCGCTACCTCCCAATCGATGCGCCGACCGACTTTGATCCAGCCCATGTGCCTCCACTCCGCGATGCTCGGTAGTTTCGGCATCGTGCAGACGATGTACGTTCGGTGTGGTGAGTTCGCGGGCAGCATCTACAGGTAAAATACCAACAACGGCATTGTTGTTCGAGTGCTCTAGGGTGATGTTGTCGGACCGATGCCCTGCTCGATCGTCGGCTTCAGCTGCATCTTGGTTACCGGCAGGTGGATGCATATTCGCTGTAGCCACCGTGACCTCGGGATTTGTACCAGTATGATCGACAATAAGACTACAGGATTGCTTGGGTATAGGGTCTGGATTATACGGTTGTATGGCTTGTGACGGCGACATTCGATACTCAGGTGCTGCCTTGTTACCATCGTTCTCCTTAACCCGCAGTGCCTGAACGATACGTTCCTCATCGTCACTATGAGAATTCAGTCCGAGTGTAACTTCCATGAGCGGCCGCATTTCCGGTGTGCCGGATTTCTGATCGGCATGTCTAAGAATTTCTGCTATCATGCCTTGACATATTTTAAGCTGTTTTGATATGGATCGAAATGATAATCCTTCAGCACGAAGTTGCAGAACAGCCGCACGCCTCTGCTCGTATTTTTGCCGGTTGCGCTCCTGAAATGTTCTCCTATTTTGCTTCAACAACATTCTGAGAGTATCTCGGTGTACGCCGAACTTTTCAGCCATGTACGCCATAGTGCGACCTTCTTCAAAGCATTTAAGTATCGCTTCTTTCTTCTTCTGACTGACAGAAATTCTATCCCTTGCGGCAAAATGAAGTCCGGCGTACTGAAGTGCAGCGCCTGTGGCATCAGCTGCTACGTTAGCCTCGCGTGCAATATCAGCTTTTGAGTAACCGCGATGGAACAACTGCATTATCGTATGTTTTTGCTCTTTAGTAAGGCCATTCAGTCGCCGCAGTTGATTGACGGTAGTCGTGCTTACGTTGAACTGCTTCGCAATTTCTGCTGGATTGTGCTCTCCTTGGCATGCAAGCTGCTGGATCTCTTGTTTCTGCTCCTCAGTCAGCTGGGTTCGACAAAGTCGTTCTTTCTCGTATAGAAAGTTTCTTAGTGAAGTAAGCTTGATTCCGGCGCGCTTCGCGATTTGCTGATGCGGGGAGCCAGCTTTGCATAGTTCACGTATTAGCTGTTTTTTCTCTTCGTCCAGTTCTTTTTTCTTTGGCATGGTTGTCCTACTCTATTTTTTAACATACGAACACTGACATACATACGTACAGATATGGTACACAGTAAGCCAGAACTGGCTGTAAAAAATATTCAGCTTAACAAAAATTTGTTGTATACATACTCGCAATTATCACTTACCAGTACAAGCACCAGTGTACCACTATTAATAATGGGTGAACAGACTGCAAATTTGAGTACTTATATCCACGGTAGTTTCTGCCACACCTTTCGGTATATCACAGCTCATAGTTTGAAGATATAAATAAGCACAAATTAGCACCCTCCTAAGCACAAATTAGCACCCTCACAAAAAGTTCCGCAGCAGTAAGGGTACTCAAACATCCTTTACGAGTGGCTCTATAACTTAAAGGGGCCAGATCCTTTAACTTTTGGCTCCGCCTCTGCACTACCATTGGACGAAAGGCTCTAAAATTTTCCTCTCTTTAACTTAAAGTCCTTTAACTTAAAGTACCAAAATCGTTACTTTTCAGTATAGGGCCCGCTGAGTTGGAAATCGCTCATGCAAACTGAAACGGATTCTGCATCTAATGTGCAGATATCTTTTGCCGACTACTGAAATTTGTTTTCAATGGTTTTAGACTTTCTGTTCTTCTGCGAAATGGGAGGCGTAAACACCCATTCAAACCCATTTTATCATTAACCGATTTAGAGAAATATGATTGGCTAGTGAGAGTTAAAGAGAAATCGCATCTATAACTTATAGAGCCGTTCGTAAAGGATGTTTGAGTACCCTTAGTAAAACTTAATGAAAGAGTCACAATTCAGGACTCGTGGTGAATCACAGTATTATCGAAAGATTGACATACCGTAGTACTAGCAGGGCAAACTAAATCTGAGATAGCACTGCGGCGCTCTCTCTGCCCTCTTTAAACAACACTCACATGTGCGTTCCTAATTTCCTATCCTTAACGAAGTAGGTAAACATTGCTGCCGCACAGCCAAATTGTTGTGTGCAATATGGACAGCCGATGCGCGCTGGGACGGCATCGCTCAAGATGCCGCCCAGTGCGGGTCCCACTACGTGGGCTATTGAACAGTGACAAGCATACTGATAAAATAGCAGAGTGTGATATTTCGTAACACTAAAATGCTATGAACGCTGTAATATCTTGTAAAATTATTTCAGCACAAAATTACGCTAACGATTGGTGTTTTGGTGTAGCAGTGCTGGGCAACGGGCAGTCGCGCAGAGTGCACGCAGCCGATCGCGCAGATGTGCAATTTAAAAACAATATAACAATATCGCCTGCAATCTCTTGCTGGTTGGTGAAAACAAACCTATTTGCGGGGAAGAATCTTTGTTCAACAATGTTCTATTCAAATGAGGAACATCACACAAACCTCGGGACCAGTAAGCGCGAAAAAGCTCAACTCATTTTTTCAAAAAAGGTCAGTTTCACACTTGATGAATACGAATCATAATAGCAAGTAGTAACATAAACAATAGACCTGTTATGGACGGATTGTTCATTTGTAACGGCAAGATTCTGATTAGACAAATTGCATAAAGATCACCTGCGCCAGGGTTCGCCAAGGCAACACATACCAGCGGCTGAATCAAAAGACTGATAATTTGCAAACATTGAATTGCTCTTTCATTATTACACGAAGCGTTCCTAAAATATGGCGCAGAGTGTTTCACCTTACAGACCAAAATAAGATTGGAACATTGAAACCAAAAGCATTTAAAATGTTGTCTTGACAGTTAAAGAATGTTCTCGTAAATAGTCCTCCAGTTGTTTGTTCCCAGGAACTGACTGATAAGAATGAGCAGCAAGCATTTTGATTGCAGAAGCGTCAGTAATCTAATTCCTTGCAACAGAGTGAGTAATGCCGGTGTTTAAAGGATTTCGTGACTGATGCGTAATTATATGTTCTCCCATCTTCATAGGTTGCCGACTTTTGAATGCGCACCCCGTGCAGCGCAGAAACACGTGCTTCGCCAGTAGAAGACGATGCTGTTGAGCAGCCAAATGCGATAGGAACTGATCCTCATCATCCCACGACACACGGCATATACGGCATTGAAATCTTGCCGTGGCGGTATCGATTTCGGTGTCCGGCAACAGAAGTAGTTGTGGAGCAGCGTTTCCTGTGGGTAGGTTCGGGATGGTGGCAACTGTCGCTGGGTCTTCTCGTTTGGTGTCTGAGCTAGGCGAAATGGTTTCCGGTGCTACGAGATCATCCTCACGCTCAACGTTTCGCTGGTAATGCCGCATGCCAAAATAATCATCGAAGGAACGCCACCGATTATACGCGCACGCCGCAATCAAAATATCTGCAAAATAGTCTTTCGTTCTATATAAAATACAACTAATATACCGTTGGCGAAACTTCGATTTTATTTAATTTAAATGGTAACATAATGGCTCATTATAATCAGCCATTAGACGTATTTGCAGCTTACCTAATTATTCTGATTAAGGAAGAACCGATTCGCCTTTGATTCAAAAATTCACTCACCTGTTTGGCACTCGCCGGTGCGGCAGTTGTCGATGTTCGTTATTTCCCCATTTTCTGCTGATATATTTACAGTGTGTGGAGAATCAACCTCCGCAGTCCAGTTGGCATCGAACGGTGAACCTGTTTCGTCCTGCTTTTCTCCACCACTGAGTGAAACCTGCTTTTCTGAAGCTGAATCCGGGTGTAGCAGCTGCTGGGCCTCAGAGGGCATTCGCTCAGGTCGGGGCGATTGTGGGCGAGATGTCGGAATGATGAGATCTACGGCTGCTTCCGCTCTCCACTGCTCGATATCACCGGCATCTTCGGCTTCCACTAGAGATACCGCAATTACCGGAGTTGCGCTTTTGCCTGCATCCCTTACTGCGGTCGAGGGTTGAACCTAAAAACAGAAGGAAAATTTCGAAATAAAGATAAGACTGCCATCAGATTGTCTTCGTTAGCAAATGCGCAGCCAA